ACGTTGCGATTAATCTTCGTTCGTCCTCTCTTGGGGTGTTGAGGGATTACGTGTCCCAATCTGCTTTTGTTCGGTGCGCTTTTGCTTGGCATGCTTCGGCTCGGAATGCTGTGGCTACCATGAACTGAAGTGCAACCAAATGTATAGTTTTCGTTGTGCCCCTCTATTTGGATTCTTGGCCAAGTTTATGTGTTCAGTCCATCTCTTGTCGGGCTGTCTTTCTGTCCTCCCCACGTACATATGTCTACACCAAGGTGAAACTCCGTGTACTAACTAGTTGCTCAATTTTCGTTGATAGCCTGTGTATCTGCTCCCACTTTTGTGTCGTGGTGAGGTCGCCTGATGCTAAGGTGTCTTCTACCTTCCCGACAGATCTTCAGTGCTCGAAGATGTGTCGGATGAGTCATACTCAATACTCCCGCTTGATCTTGTACTAAGGCTCTCGTAATCATCCTCACTTGTGTCGCCGCCAGTTGTGTTGGACACTCTTGTGTTATCTGGATCTGGCATAATCTGTGTTTCAAGATCAGAATCACAAAATTCAGGTTGTTGTTGCCGCCAACTAAGAAATTGGTGTATGCTCTCCACAGATAGGCCCACGGAGACGGGCACTGGCACAATTTTTCGGGGTACGGTATGGGGAAAACCAGTGCCTTGCGGGCCGTGCGACAGGTGGCGGAAGCCATTCACGCGGTGTTCTCGAACGCCGTCGGTTTCGGTGGACTGGAGGAGCGTCACCGTCGAATGCAGCAGTTTCGAGCATTGGGTTTCCCCAATTGCTGGGGGTGCATTGATTGCACTCACGTGTATGTCGACAAGCCTCGATCTGCCGACAGTGACGACTAGTGCTCTGGGCGTAACAACAAGTTCTCTGTCGTTGCGCAACTCGTTGTCGATTCGGAGCTGCAGATCCTGGACTTCTGCTACGGCTTCCCTGAGACTGTTGGCGATGCCCGGACTCTAAAGAACACCTCACTGTATAGGCGAGCCCTTAAGGGTTCCTTGTTCGTTGACCTCCCCGACGACCCGTTCAGTGTAGAGAGGCCTTCGATCCCCGGTGTTCCTGGTGGGTACTTGCTCGGTGATGGCAGGTATCCCAATCTACTTGGATTGTCATCCCCAATGGCCAGCAACCACCCCTCTTGCCGATACTGGTGATGATGATGATGATGATGATGATGATGATGATGATAATGATGATGATCACGACGGTAGGGCGCCGGAGCAGAATGAGGCTACAACAGAGGTAGGACGCCGTCAAAGGGACCGCTCTCGAGTGTTACCTCTCTAGATCCAACGCGAGCGCCTCATCATCATCATCATCATCATCATCACCACCACCACCGTCATCATCATCATCGTCATCATCATCATCATCATCATCGTCATCATCATCGCCATCAACATCAAAACGGGGCCCTGTCACCTGCCCCTCATCCCCAAACTGATGATGATGATGATGATGATGATGGTGATGGTGATGATGATGATGATGATGATGATGGTTATTCATTACCGGATGAGATGGTGGCTATTCAACACCGGGGGAGATGGTGGCTATTCATTATCGGAGGAGAAGGCGCGTACGAGATCGGCGAGGGGAAGGGTTGCCGAAGGAGATGGTGGCTATGACAGTGGCCACCGGTGGCCGCACCGATCTGCCCACCTTTTACTTCGGCGGTAGCCCGGTTGCCATACACATGCGCAATAGAGAGAGAGAGAGAGAGAGAGAGAGAGAGAGAGAGAGAGAGAGAGAGAGAGAGAGAGAGAGAGAGAGAGAGAGAGAGAGAGAGAGA